TTCCCAAGAAAGCTGAACTTATCCCAAGTTTCATGTGCATCAGCTTGCACCCGGCGAGTCGGTGGCGAACTCTTTCCGTGCGGGTGGTCTTTGGGCGCGGGAGAGACGAGGCGGTGATTGGATTAATCCGCGTGGGCGCAGCCTGGACCGGATTCTGTCCCGGATCGTGCAGCGTGGAGCGCGCGGTGTTGCCCTAGAAAGGGCGGGTAAGTGACGCGCAGCAGCGGGGCGACCGCCGGCCTCGGAGTGCGCGTCTTTGCGAGGCGTGCCGAGGAGCCTGGAGTCCAAGTTCCATGACTTCTTCCCTCTCTAGGCGAGACTAGCTGGGTGCTGTGCCTCGCGGGGCTCACCCCTAGGCTTCGCGATGGACGGCGAGAGCGAAGTGAATTTTTCCAGCAACAGTTTAACCCCTTCGTGGCGGAGGAGGTCGACCCCTCAGCCGCAGATGCTGGGCCGGAGCAAGCCGAGACCCCAGTCTTACCAGAGCCCGAGCGGGTTGCTGATCACGGATTTCCCGGTGGAGGACCGGGGCCCGCTCCCCGTGGCGCAGACTCCCTCCCAGGTGCCCACCGCTTCGGACGGCAGGACGGTCCCGAGGAGCCCTCTGCTTCTGTGCACCCACCGGAGGCCGGTGACCAATGGGAGGACGGTCTCCCCGGAGTACCGGGCTGTCTCTCCTCGGCTCCGACGCCTGAAGTCACCGCAGACCCCCAAAGGGGCGTTGGGGGGCTCCCCGAAACCCCCAGAAAATGGTACAGTGATTCCGCCCGCGCCGCCGCGGCTGCGCCCCCCACCTTCTCCTAACGCATCCGCCCCCTGCAGTCCAGAGGGCGACCGGGTCAGACCGACTGCGAGCCCCCTGCCCGCGCCCGCTGCGAACGGGCTCTCTTGTCACGTCGACTCTCCAGGCTGCCGTTTGCAATCCGGCCAGACAGCTAAGGACCCTGAGCGGGGACCCTCGCCCCAGAATAGGTCTTTGGAACAAAAACTCCCCCTCCAAAGGCTGCCTTCTCAGGAGAACGAGCCCCCGGAGACGCCTTCAGTGGTTTTGAGCACAAATAGCCCGGCTGCCCTCAAAGTGGGGAAGCAGCAGATAATTCCCAAGAGCCTGGCCTCAGAAATTAAAATAAGTAAAAGCAGCAGTCAGAATGTGGAGCCCCACAAGAGACTCCTCAAGGTGCGCAGCATGGTGGAGGGCCTGGGGGCGTCGCTGGGCCCCTCGGAGGACGAAGGCGAGGTCGAGAACGACCTGGACAGCCCGGGGTCTCTGCGGAGGGGCTTGCGGTCCACGTCCTATCGCAGGGCGGTGGTCAGTGGCGTGGATTTTGACAGTCCTACCACCTCGAAGAAGAAGAACAGAATGTCTCAGCCCATTCTGAAAGTAGTGATGGAAGACAAGGAGAAGTTTTCCAGCCTTGGAAGGATAAAGGTAAGAGTGGGCATGGCACTCAGTCCAAAGTGAAGGTGTTGGAGATAGGGAGGAGGGATGCAGGGGAGATCAGACATCACTGTTCTCTGTAATTCTGTTGTTTGTTGATGAAGCCTGTGCACATGTATCTCTGGGCCACTGTATGGTTGGCTCGCACAGCCCAAGTTCATGTGGCTTTGTGGGAGGGCGTGAAACTCCTATCACTGTGTTGGCTTTCTAAGCTTAGGCAGAATCTGGGGACACATGGGGGGAAAACACAGCAAATGAGGTATTGGCTGCATGAGTCCTGAAACACTTCTTTTAATACAGGGAAGCTGCGAAAGGGGGTGGAGAGCAGGGCAGGATTTGCACTCTTGACTTTGGCCAAGCTGTCTGGTGCTTATTTAGAAGTGTCAGTCAGTGGCTGCCGATTCATCACAGCTGATGAGGGGAAAAGCTGATTTCCTTTGAGCCTATTGATCATTTTACATTAATTATTTAGTTTCTTTGAATGGCGCTCACATGCTAAATACCTCAGATAAAATGTGAATTTTTAAAATTAGGCGCCAGAAAACAAAGACACAAAAGGCACAAATAGTATGTCATCGTTGGTACTTGTTTCTGTCAACTCGGCCTTTGGTTGTATTTCATTCCTGTTTTGTGCCCATTTATCCTGCAGTGCATTTAGCAAAAGTTCAGGTTCCAGTGAACTATATGTTATGGCTCCCTGATAGAGGCCTAAAAGCTGAAATTGGTAACAAAAAAATAAAAATAAAAAATTGCCAAATATGACAGAAAGAAATAGGGAAAACCAGAGAAAGGGATTTTGGCGTGTGCTGTGCATGTGCTGTCATCTTCAGAAATAAGGTGGACCTGGGCAATCGGGCAGACATTTGTTTTGGGAGCGACATCCATTCTTGATTAATCAGAGAACTGGAACTAGTCTGTATGATTGTCACATATGTAATACACAAGCAAACAGGCTTTATTTTAGATCCTATGGCCTTAGAGAAATTACATAACATTTTATGTTTGTTTTGCACACACCCTCCCGCCGCCCCGCCCCCCCCAACTCTGCAAGTATAGCGAAGTTCAATTTAACAGTGATGGTGAGTCATAAATAGTGAAATGAGCTGAGCCTGCTGGTCATTTGAGGATTCTCAAACTATTTCAACAGGGTGTGAGGGACATTGTACATTTTATTTCACTGTTTTAGGGAATTGTTGGAGTCATAGGAGTGAACCACTCCAGGGATCATCAGCTGTATGCTTTGGGAAATCTAATGCATGTAACAACAAAATAAGTACTTTTTCTTAAATAGTTGTATTTTCAATTTGGCTCATTCATATATCGTATGCTTTGCCTTTTCCTTTTTTGCTTTTCTTGTTTCTTAGAAAAAAGTGCTGAAAGGACAAGGACCATTTGATGGGGAAGGTAAGCATTTGATTTTCCAGACTTTTATTGCTGTTTCAATGTGGAATATCAATTATAAGTTCCAACCCAGCTGCAGTAACAAAAACACTTAAGATGAGGAAAATGTGCAACTTCTCAAAATTATACAGCACAAAGCACTTCACTCAGCTAAATTTTCATCTAGTAATACCAGCCGTGAATAAAATCAATAGCTTTCTTTGTAAGCTGATAACTTTGTCAGCCAATGCCCTGGGATTTTGAATTCTTTTCTACTCTGGCTCCATCCCCACCTCCCTTAAGAAAAAAAGGAAAAAGAGTAAGAGCAAGCTCTAGCTCTTTAGTCAAAAATTCTGAGAGTTTGGCATTTAGATCTTAAGTCATTTTTTTCCCTAGGTCATATTTCCTTTGACTTAATATTCTTTCCCCATTTTAGTCTCATTTCTGACTTCCCGTTTCCTTATCAAGTGTCTGTTTGGGGGAAATCTAACTCCTGGCCAACGGAAACATATTCCTAAGCATTTGTAACCCATATAGTATTTTCATTAAGGGTCTCAAAAACAAAAGCAGCTTCCACCCAGGTGTTCAAACCCTAATCAGATTAGTGGGCTTTGTGTAAATAGATGGGTCAAATGTCAGCCAACTGGAAAAGCATGAAAGGAGCAGCAGCCCCAGCTGCAGCCCTTGTAGGGCTGGTGGAGGGTGGTAGAGGTGAGGCTAGTTCCCTTCTTTCACGCTTTGAAATGCTTAAGATTTCCCCAACTTTTAAAGAATAATGAAGAAGGGGATGCCCCTAAGTAAATCTAATGTAAAACCACCCAGAGTTATGAAACATATAACCTTGGTGATTATCAATTATTTCCCTCTATAAAAACCATTCCCACTGGAGTATTTAAACATGGCTGGTTTATAAAAATTTATTCATTGCACCAATCTCTGGAAGCATGATTTATAAAGGGTGTGCCAAAATTCACGCAAGAAGTAATTTTGATAGAAAACACAGGTCTATAATTAAACATTGTAAATTTCTATTGATTCATAAAGTATCCAGTATAGGATATGGGATAGCACATCGGGTAAATGGCCTCTGCGGCTTTGCTGGTACCTAGGGCTCCGTGGTCTTCTCTGGTCTTCACTGTCCCTGCTCCTGGGCCATCATTGTACTTGGTGATGCTTATCAAATTGAAGGGATTGAAATCAAAGGGCAACAGATGTTAGAATCTGATTCAATAAACCAAGTAAAATTAGGCTTTTATTTTTTGTTGTTGTTAATGCTCACGCAAAATTCAAATCTTGCGTGAATTTTGAGACACACTATATATGAAGAAGAAACCCAGCTGCAGTGCTGTAGCTGCTTAGGATGAATTCTCTCCCTGATTTTACCGTTGAGGACACTGGGAGCTCTGAGCAGTTCCGTGCCCTCTCTACGGTCACACAGCCAGTACTGGGACAGAGATCTGGTCCTCAGTCCAGTGTGCTTCCTCTTGTACCACTTTTTGAACATGAAGTGATCAGAGCATCTACCTAATAACGATTTAGAGAGATGTTCTGCATCTTCTGGAATTTGGCATTGATTCTGGGACCTTTGCCTCAAAGGATTAAAAACGTTGAGGTTTTTTTTTTCTGTCCAAGGACGGATCACCCCCAGAATAGATCACACCCTTCCTTACAACTAGTTTTACACGGTTTCTGTTTATAAGGAACTGTTTCTGTGCATCCTCTCATCTCTTTTCAAATATGATGACTTAGACATTCTTTTTCACATATATGTAGTACTTGAGGAATGCAGTATTCTTACAGTTACTGATTAACAAGAATGTAACCTGGGAAGCGGTGTGATAGTAGTGAGAATCTGTGAAGTTGGACCCACGGGCCTGCGTTCCTCTCCTACTGCTTTACTCATCGTTGGAGTGATAATTGAGCAGGCACCTTAACCTCACCAAGGCTTGAGTTCATCATGTGTAAAATGACGTTAGCAGTACCGCTACCCACGTTGTTGTGGGAGTGAATGAGAAATTATCTCAACAATGCATGCATGTCTTTTGTGCCAACCACTAACTACTTTAAAGGGCACTAGAGGTGGGGAAAACTTAGTCATTACCTTCGCAATGTGTTTTACCTATGCAGAGCAATCAGAGACCAGTGCAATCTTGCATAGACCTCGTATTTCTTTATTATAGTCATTAGAACAGGCAATAGTTGATGATTAAAGAGGAAGCTGTTTTCTTGCTTCAGTAGATGGAAAGGATTTTCATACTCTGTGTTCCCAAACTAAACTCCTAACCTTCCCTATTATAGCTAAATCTCTTCTGGTGTTTCCCTCTCCTACCTTCTTGTGTGGGACTTGCAGACCTAGGAAGTACCTGATCACCTGCCTCTCTCCAAGCCGGTATACTGGTACCAGTCCACTCCCAGTCTTTTTTTTAAAAATATATTTTATTGATTTTTTACAGAGAGGAAGGGAGAGGGATAGAGAGTTAGAAACATCAATCAGCTGCCTCCTACACACCTCCCACTGGGGATGTGCCCGCAACCAAGGTACATGCCCTTGACCGGAATCGAACCTGGGACCTTTCAGTCCGTAGGCCGTCGCTCTATCCACTGAGCCAAACCCGTTAGGGCTCCCAGTCCTTTCTAAGTTGCATAGGCCAAGCTCCATTATCTTTCATTGACTACTTCAGTAGCATCCTCATTAGTCCCCGAAGTAGTCAGTGTTTTGCTCCTAAAGATCTAATAAAATCTTCCCTTTCAGTGCGTTCCCATGGCAATTAGGATCAAAATACAATCTTTTCTCTTTTTTTTTTTGGTGGGGGGCACCCCAACCGGGGATTGAACTTGCAACCTAGGTATGTGCCCCTACTGCAGTGGTTCTCAACCTTCCTAATGCCGCGACCCTTTAATACAGTTCCTCATGTTGTGGTGACCCCCAACCATAAAATTATTTTCGTTGCTACTTCATAACTGTAATTTTGCTACTGTTTCGAATCGTAATGTAAATATCTGATATGCAGGATGTATTTAGGCGACCCCTATGAAAGGGTCGTTCGACCTCCAAAGGGGTCACGACCCACAGGTTGAGAACCGCTGCCCTACTGGGAAATTGAATCCACAGCCTTTTGGTGTATGGGACGATGCTCCAACCAACTGAGCCACCCAGCCAGGTCTACTTTTTCAAAAGCATTTTAATGGCTGCATCCTTTAGACTTACCATCATACAATCTGTACAGTGTGAAAGAAAGTCATTCCTTTGTCCTTAGGATAAAATTCAGTTTTTTAAAATTCCTTGCAAAGCTCTGCTTGATTTGGACTGTCTGGCTCATCTCCCTACACTCAGCTTGCACCCTTTGTCCTTTAGACACCCACTGAGGCACATTGACCTGCCTTAGTTCTTCTAAGGTATTGTATTTTACTTGCCTCAGGACTTTTGCATATACTGTACTTTTTCCTTTAGCTCTGTGGCATCTCAGCTTTCTGGTCTTAGATTTTCCTCACTGACACCTCTCACCCTCAGACTAGGTCACACTCTGCTGACAGTCTTTTCTCAGAGTACCTGTATATAAATCTTTCAGTGTGTTGGTCTGTATTTGTACAAGATCATTGTGTCCTCAATCCTACAGCGACCTGCCTTTCACTTGGAGAAAACACTAAAGTTGTCTTCATGGTATTGAGGCCAGGTCCTATATGATCTGCCCTTTATTCATCCCCAATCTCCCATCTTCTATACTTTCTCCCTCCCTCATCCTATTCCAGCCACACAGGCCTCCTTGCTGATTGTACATACGGAGTCCTGCCCCCGGGCCTTTGTCCTTGCCATTCCCTCTGGTGAAATGTTCGTTCCCCACTAGAATGGTGGCTTGCTTTCTCACCTTTAGTCTTTGCTTAAATGTCACCTTGGGGAGGCCTTCTTAAATTACCCTGTTTAAAATCTACATACCTCCTGCATATAACATTCCCTGTCTTTCCTTGTTTTATTTTTCTCCATGACCATTAACAGCATCTGACACATTTTTTTTTTTTAATCCTCACCTGAGGACATGCTCATTGGTTTGAGAGAGAGAGAGAAAGAGAGAGAGAGAGAAACATCAATGAGAGAGAGAACATCGACTGGTTGCCTTCCATACATGCCCCAACTAAGGATCAAACCCACAACCTAGGTATGTGCCCTCAATGGGAATTGAACCCACAGTCTTTCAGTATACCCATGATAATCCAACCCACTGAACAGCACTGGCCAGGGCAACATCTGACATATTTTTAAGTTATTTGTTTATTTATTGTCACTCTCCCTTCACTCTGATGTCAGCTCCATGAAGACTGATACTTTCATATGTTTTGCTCACTGTTGTATCCCCAGTGCCTAGCAATTATTGACATCTAGTAGACATTTTCTAAATATCAGTTAAACCAATAAATGAATGAGCGACTTTGACGATTTTGCTCATAAAGCTTTTAGCTCATGAGGGCACAAGAAGTGTCTTTTATTTTCTATTTACTCCCAGTCCTTGGCACATTGTGGATGTACAGTAGATAGTTGTTAAGCAGATAAATGAATGTTGATGGACTTGAAGGGAAGGTAGGGTGTGGATTCAATCGAACCTAAAAATCTGTTTAACAGGTATGACTATCCTTCATGGGTAGTGTAGGATAGACATGGGAATTTTGCTTTAGTTGGCATTTCATGTAAGGGCCCCTCCCTTTTCTCTATGGATGGATTTGGGACAGGGCTGTGTGAGTGAGAAAATCATTTTTTAAATCCGTTTGTCTCTTCATCGTTTATTAAACTGTAGACTCAACATTGTATAAATATAGATGTTTGTTTAGAACAGGTAGCATCATGATGGGGTCGATTAGTGACATGTTGGGTTGGCTTTTCTTGCAGAAAATGCTGTCCTGTACCAGAACTACAAAGAAAAGGCCCTTGACATTGACTCTGATGAAGAGTCTGAGCCCAAAGAACAGAAGTCGGAGGAAAAAATTGTGATCCAGCACAAGCCACTCCGGTCCACGTGGAGCCAGCTCTCTGCGGTGAGTGTTTGCCTTTGCTGTCTGCAGAGGGGGAAGCACCGAGTTGTGTAAATTTGGCGGGAATGTAGTTTTACGTTTTTCTGCCAGTCGTCCTGTAACTCTAAGGAGTAAGACTCTTCTTCGACGGCACAGTGTTTCTTGAACCTCTCAGGCACATTAAGAATACGAACTTTGACACTACTGATTAGGGAAATTAGGTTTTGATAACGTGCCTCGAGACTGATGTACTATGAACTCTGGAAACTCTTCCTATTCAGTATCTCTTCTCATTTGTTTTATATAGTGTATAAATGGTAAGTTAATCTGTCCTGAACTTGACTATAATTATGGCTGCATATACATATGTGTGTATGTATGTATACTAGTATTTCTCTATGCACAACAGGGAGGTTAGAGTGCTTCCCAGGAAATCTCATTTGATGTAGACACATTTATATTTTTTTGAAGTTGATTAATGAATGGCGTTCTCTTCCATCTCTCTCTGTGCATCTTTTGTGTGGGAGTGTCTCCGAACTGACTTTTGTCTTGATGAGTAATTTCTCCTCTTTGCATCAGACATCTTTTGTTTTCAGCCATCATTTCTATCCCTCCTGGCTTAACAGATGTCACAGTGGGATGCTTCCTTTACTTGCTATGGTCACAGCCACTGTGGGCATCTGATGCATTACCGAGTAGAAAGGAACTCCCATGGTTGGCTTGGGTGTTGGGAGCGTTGCATCAAGAAACAAGCCAGCACACCTCTGTGAGTCCTTAGGCAATATGAGAGCAGAGGTGAGTTTTCAGGGGAAATGAGTGTTGTTCAGAGTCGGGGATCTCATCTATTCAGGGAACCTAGCAACATAAGAAAAGGAGCTGTGTACATTGGTTGGTGCTCAGAAGCATGACCGTGGAGATGGGTGTATGTTGATGGTGAAGATACCCTCTGGTTCGGGCTCTTCCTCCCCTTTTCCAGCCTGTATTGGAATTCGGAGTTCTAGAAACCAAGCCCGTTCTCCTTGTCCCTCTCCCACCCCTGAATTTGGTTCTAAGGAGAATTCACTCAGTTCCACTGCCTCCTAGGCGTGGCACCCTGAGTATTAAGTCACAGATTAAAATACCTGCAGGGCCAGGACAAGTAGTGTGAACAGTGATGCTGGTGTGTGGGGGGATGGGGAGTGTGGGGACTGTTGTGAACAGGCCTTCTACAAATTGAGCCTCTGATGCTTAGCTCAGACCACTCCAGTGTTGCCAGATCTTCTGAGACTTAGAAAAGGGGAAACAGAAATCCAGACTTTTATGAGCATTATTCTAATTCAAGTTTTAAAAACAATGTGTGAGCCCAACAAAATATCTATGGGCCTGACTTGGCTTCTATACTAATAGTTTGTAACGTCTGTGATGCTTGCATGTGGTGAAGTGGTAACACCTATTCACAGAACTGACATATTGGTGGCTTTATACGCTAATCTAATGATCTCATGATATATATATATGTATATGTATGTGTGTGTGTGTGTATGTATGTGTATATATTTATATATATGTATATATATAAAAGCAAATACTTGGAAAAAACTGGGGACAAGGCCCAATGAGGCTTGGTTGGCGTTAAATGGATATCATTCCATTATTGGTATGGATCCTTTGGTAGAGAATCCCCAAGAATAATCCTGTGGATTTTTTTAGTTCTCTCTCTGTGGCAGCATCCGTGTTTGTTAGCACAGGCCTAAATCCTGCTGTTTTTCTCTGGACCCTGAACAGAATGTGCCACTTATGCTTTGATCCAACGTAACTTTAGTGCTGAAACTCAGGCTGCCATATTTACGACGCCTCCTGCAGTTTGGTTTTCATTTAGATTAGCAAGTGCACGTTCAAAAACTACTACATATCCTTCAGTATAACTTCAAATATGGGCATGCGTTTTATTTGGCAAACGATAAATGTACGGATGTGCTTTTTGTTAGCGAGATTTATATCTAAAGACTGGGTGATAAAATGTAAAACTACAAAGTGGGTTCTAACTTTAGTGTGTGTTATCTTGCATTCGAGTGTTCCCAGGAGGCTTATGTGTATTTATTGTGTTGCTTGGCAATTACACTTAATCAAAGCAGGGTGACTGGACTTTAACACCCATTGCTTAGGCACCAGCCTGCATTTTCTTAGTTACTTCTGTGTCTCCTTTTCACATTTAAAATGTTTTACTTCAATTTTTGTATTAAAAAGTACTTCAGATGTGCAGAAAAATTAAAAAATATATGTCTGTGTAATAGATTTCTAGGTACCCATCACCCAGATTGAACAGATGTTGATGTTTAAGCCTACTTACTTCAGGCCTCTATTTTTAAGGCAGATTCATTTACCTACCCTCCCCTCCAGCCCTTTTCTTCCTTCTGCTGCCCCAGGGGTAATCACTGTCCTGAAGTTGTCTTCTGTCCCTACCACATGGTTTTCTGTCTACCAAAAAGATGCAAGCAGCTCTGGCTTTTAGGAAAATAGATTATTTAACAGCAAAAAGCTGCGGTTACTTTTAAAGCAGCCTAGCAGTTGGTTTGTCGAAGCTGCATTTAGGACCCTAAAGAGAGGAGGCTTCATGAATCATGAACAATGTTAGGCCGTTTTCAATAAGAATGAAGACCTCCATGTCTCCGTCTGACCTCATGCCCCGGTCCCTCCTTATAAAGGGGGTTGCAGTGTCTGGGACAGGTCTTGGAAAAAGTTTGCTTTTTATATATTTTTGCATCATCTTTCCATGCTTAACTTTTTCCTTAACTTATTTCTTTATCCTCACTCAAGGACATGTTTTTATTGATGTTAGAGAGGCAGGAGTAGAGAGAGAGGGAGGGGAGGGGAGGGGAGGAAGAAAGGAACATTGACATGAGAGAAAAACATTAATTGGTTGCTTCCCATATGTACCCTGACCAGGGATCGAACCTGCAACCTAGGTATGTCTTTTGACCAAGAACAGAAACTGCAATCTTTAATCTTTTCTTGTATGGAACACTCCAACTAATTGAGTCACCTGTCCAGGTCTCCATGCTTAACTTTCAATATACTAAGTTAGTAGGGTAGCCCCCATCCAGTCTTGCATATATCACTAACAAAAAAACTCTTCTTGGGGTAAGGCCTTGATTCCAGGAAGAGTAGGACAGTGGCTTTTTTTGGCAAAGGGTTAGGTCTCATATTGACATCTGCCTTGACTTTCTACTTGGGAGGGGGTGTATGTGTATGAGTATTTGCTGCTGATTGTTTTATTTTTTAAAATCTCTTGCCTTTGTTGCAAACACCTGCCTGCCTCTTGGGATGAAACTTTTCTTATCAGTTGATTGCAAGAGGAATCCTGTATGCAAAAGGCTCCTTAGAAGTGCAGCCACTGGCCGTCATTCATGGTTGTTGCATAAGGTCCTTAAGCCTTCAGCCTGAAATGGCATTTGTGTTCGCTCATGATATGTCTCCTTTAGTTTTATTGGACAACCACACAGGTGACAGGTGGCTCTCCACCTACAGCTTTGGCAACAGGTTTAACTGGAGTGTTGTGGGCATCTAGGAATAAGGGAGAACAGAGAGGCATTTAATGGGATCTCAGTGGAATGATGGAAGTTTAGGCTGCCATGAACTTCTCTAACCAGATTAAAGTGAGTTAACGTGAATGCATTTAGCAGCGGTGGCTCTGCCAGCAGGTTCTTCAAGTAGAGTTGGGCTGTTCTCTTAGAGTCAGGAATAAGACCTGGGCTCCTAATTCCATACGGGGGACAGGCTTCCTCCTCCTTCCCTTGATTGTCAGAGTCTATAGATCTATTCTTAAGTGGAAATACTGGATTTCGACACTCAAGGGAGTAAAACGTTGTGCTGCTCTTCGGGTTTGGGGAAGCACTAGCACTATGAGAAATAATTTACATGATCATGGTGTTTGGTTGGTCACACGTGAAAAGGATTTGAAGTTTTGAACTTGAGAAGGTTTTCTCAATCTTAGAGATCTGTGCTCAGCGATGAAGAACCTGCCATCCGCAGGTGAATGGCCCAGCGCCTCACCTTAAACGGCCGTGGGAATAGAAGCCAAGAGCTCCTGGATCTCTGAGAAAAGCTTGTGAATTTGAAGAAAAATATTGATTGTTTTATCTGTCTGGGATAGAACACAAAATCCCTGTGATAGTCAGTGCCAGGCAGCTGAGACCTGAATGCAAAGTGAGCTTCTGGTTTTCCAAGTTCACCCTTTAATGGGATCCTGGAAGCACTTAAGTATTACAGAAAGGAAACGATAGATTTTGACCGAAGTCTTTTTGCTTTTCAACATAACTCACCCCGCCCCCACCCCCTGGGGCTCCCATCCTGCACTGCGCAAGCACTAAAACATGACAGTTGCCAAACGGGTGTTTGTTTTGTTAAGTTCAGTGACAGCACCAAAGCCACACTCGCCAGCCGTACCCTGACCCCATTGATTTGCCATGGGGTGTGTTTGTCTAATTTCCATCACCTTGACATCCCAGGTGCTTTTGAAAAGGGTGTTCAGGCTCCAGGGGCAAAAACAAGCACCCGGGCAAACTGTGCACTGAATTCAACACCTAATATAGTCATCTCCACTGTACTCTGCATTTGTGCTTGCTGACAGGTGGCTCTGTCACTAACCTTAAAGCAGTTTGAGTATTTCTTCAGTTTGCTTCAAACTTTCAAGCTCTTTATTCAGAAACTGGTTTTTCTGTTTTTATCAAAGTATTTCTTCAGCTGTGCTTGCTTAGCGTGGCTACCGGTGTAATGAGAAATCTAGAATGAGGACGGAAGTCTCGTGGGTGCCGGGCACAGCTCTTAGGGCACAGAGTTTGCCTCTGGGCAACTTCCCGAATTGCTGAATGAGAAGGGACGATTTGAAAAGTGGCAATTTTATTATAATATAGTTTCACTCAGTTGAAAATATAACAGACACATTAGAGTCTTAGCAGCTCGACTGATGGGACTTAATCTTTTAGAATTTATATTGTTTAGTTGAAAGACGTACTTTTTCTCCTAAAAATCAGAGCTCAACAGGT